TTACAAGCAGTGGTTAATAAATGCCCCGCTTATTGTACCAACCACTTTCCAAAGCCTCCCTTAGTGAGGATACTGGCCCTGTTGGTGCATTGGGCTGCCAACCACTGGCTGCCCTGCAGAAGAAAAGTGAGCTGCTTCATAAAGATGACAGCCTCGGACGATTCTCATCTGTCTGGGAGGAGGGTCATTGTGAGTCCGCATCCACTCAGTGGCAGTGGGTTTGGGTTTGGTTTGGGACAACAACTAGCCTAAATGAATGCTGCGAGTGCACAGTTTGTGTCTGAGAACACAGAAGTTTAGAAAACAGAATTAACTGAAATTTAGAACTGATGATTTCTTACCAGCAGTCTGGGAAGAGTTGATGACCACAATTGTGATTGGATGAACCATGGGTCCACCATAATGGAGAACATAGAATAGGATCAAGACTTACTGGGTATGGAGTTTGAGCTGCCTGGAGGTCACTTATCAGGAGAAGTAGAGTGATTGGGGTGGGAGATGGATTTCAAATGACCAGTTTGTTGAGTTAGGGTAGATGAGTTCACCCAGAGGGAACATAACCCAAGGAGACAGCCGAGGGTAGAGCTTGGGGGGCATCACCATTAGCAGAAGCTTGAGTCATAGACTCAGAAGGGAGGGGCATTTGGAAAGACGGGCACTCAGGCAGGTCCATCCACGCAAGCTTGTGGGTGAGCAGTGCAAGTGCAGGTGCTGTTTCTGTAGCTGCAGCACGCCGCCGTTTCAGTGTCCCTGACTGACAGACTCAGTGACTCCTTCCACCGCGTAGACGCACACGGTTGGTTCTCAAGCTAATTCCCGCCAGGGCTTCTTGGTTTGTCCTTAGGTTTCAAGCACACTCACCCCCTGGTTACCTTCTGAGGCAGGGCCGGGGGCCTTCCCACCATCCCCCTTCTGGAGGATCCCTGCAACCCAGCAGAGCCACTTGACCCAGGACTGCTGTGGAGGGCCTTGGCTAAACTCCAGTGGCCCTGCTCAGGGTTTCTTTGAGCCAGTTTTTTGAAGGAACAGTGGGAAATTAGTTGTGTTTGAAAACAAAATGGCCTTTTCAATAATGTAAATGATCTATTTCCTCCATAAATGCAAGTGAAGTCCAAAACGCCGTTTAAGCCATTTAAAAAGAATATTATAAAAACAATATTATTGAATGTACAGAAAATTGAAATAGTGATGGGAACCCATATTAACTTCCATTTAGATTTTATAATCATTAAGAATGTGCTACTTTTGCAAATAGGGTTCTGGCCCAGCAAGCCTCTGGGCGCCAGATTTTTGTCAGTCCATGCTGACCTTTGCTCTACCTGTGTTTCTGTGTAAAGACACCTTATGTGGTATACCTATTTCTTACATACATGCAGTATTTCTTTATAATAAAACCAGAGGAGAGAAGGGTTTAAACCTTTTCCTGAGCGTTGGTAACGTGACCTTAAATTTCTTATGACACTGCTGCATTCTCGATCTCCACCTCTCTCTCGTCATCCGATTGTGGCAGCTGGGGCTGCATGTTTTCCAGAGCAGCCTCCCATGCAGATGGCCGCACTTCGTGAATGAGCTCCTGCCCGAGTGAAGCTCATCAAACACATGTGTTTCCTCCCTAAGGTACATCACAGATATCTCACATTCAGGAACAGCACTGCAGCAAAACCCTCAACAAAAAGCACAAAAATGCAGGAACAAAATGTGGCACCAGAAAAGTGTCGGGTGTGGGGCATTTGTTCGCATCTGAGATGCAGCCAGCCCAAGGCCACTGATTTCTGCCTCGGCTGGGAACGTGGGGGTCCCTGCTCTCCTGCTAAAATGCTGCAGAGCCAGTTCCCATTCACAGTGGCCCGGGCACTGCCGGCCCTTGCTGTGTCTGAGATCATGTCTCCGCTACTCAGTCAGTCCCTCTTGATGAGGGTCTTCCCCGTTTTCACTGCCCCTCCACATTGTCCTCCAACCCTGGTCCTCCTAGCAGTGCCTCCACGCACGGGAGATGACGTCTCACCCCCGTCCCTTCTGAGGAGCGTTCTGGCTGCACTTCTTCCAGGATCAATGCTTGTGTGTGTTCATTCTGGTGGCGGTCCTCAGTATGTCCAGGTGAATCAGTTCTTCCGTCTCCCTTAGTCATTGCCCAGCATGTGAATGCCTGGGAGGCAGTGGACGATCTGGTGGCTCGGGTCACAGGCACCCTCATCCTCAGAGTGACGTCTTTGCTTTGTAGCACTTAAACGTGGTCTTGCGCAGCAGAGGGCAACTCGGCTACTCCGCCCGTCTGTCACGTGCTCTGAGTGCACCATGGGAATAGAACTGGCGCTTAACAATCAGTTGTAGCGAGTGGGTGAAGGCACAGATACAGAATCTGCAAATAATGATGGACGTGCTTAGCAATGCAGGGGCCAGGAAAGTGGCGAGCGTGACTGGGAGTCAGAGTCTCTGTGAGAAGGCAGTGTTGTGAGGTGGACTTAGCAAAGCCTAGAGGGCTGTGGTCAGAACGTTCCGTCTAAGGGCAATGGACGGTCATGAAGGCGCTTCACCAGAGGGCTCTTCAGCAGGAGGTTCCTACCAGACCCCAGTGGCATGCTGCTGCTAAGGGGGAGGGCAGGCAGGGGAGGCTGCAGTGTAAGCTGATGGGCTTTCTCTCCAGCTTGGGCATCTCCTTTCTCTCGGGCTTGTCTGTTACAAGCCTTGGACGTGTGCCTGTGCCCCCTGTCCACCTGGGTTGCAGAGGACTCTGAACGATGTGCTGCATAGTGGTGGTGGAGCAGGCTTTGTAGGAGGCACTGCCGCCGCGCTTGGGAGCAGGTCGTGCTGCTGGAGAGGACTCCCAGGCCATCCCCGACTGAGAAGGCAGGCCTGACTCATCACAGACAAGCTCATGTCAAATTCCCAAGACCATTCCCAGGGCTGGTGCAGGACCGGGCAGCCATCTGCTCCCTTGGGCACGAGCTCATCACATCAGGAGCTGGCTCAGCTGCACCTCAGAGAAAACCATGCGCACGCGAGCACACATCTGTTTAAAAAAAGTGGGGTTTTCTATGTGTGGATAGTTTCAAACAGTTACAGTAAAGGCTTGTGAGAAAAAATACTACCTGCTCCCCAAAGGTGTGATGCCTTACAGCTCTTTTAGCTGATTCTAGTGGGCTTTTTTCTTTTTCTCTACATCTTCCGTAAACTTTACATGTGAATAACGTGTCCTTAACTCACCATGGTTCTCGGAACCTTTGCTCAAAAGCTGCTGGAGTTGTCTTCGTTGCATTCACTGTAGGGCCAGTAAGACAGTACCTAGCAGGCGAGGCCTGCTTCTCTGGCGCGTTTTTAAAGAGCTTTACTTGTGTCTGTTGGGAGGAAGGGCAGCGTATATTTAACAGAAAACCGTTGTTGTTCCAGAGCTTCACTTATGAAAACGTTACTGTCCACACCTTCTAACAGTGTTCCTAGACACGTGCCTCCCCCCCGTCCCCGTCCTGACTCAGAAGCCGTCTCTTCCAGTGGGGGGCGGGGACGGTTCAGGATTTGTGTCCATCCTGTTACAGCCACTTGGGAGTCCCTCGGCTACACTAGCTGCACAGATAGAAGCGGTCTTTTGAATGTTAGAACCTGCGAGTGAGGTCATGCACGGACTATTGCACTCTGGTTTTTAGTGAAAATGCTTTCCTTCCATCAGAGAAGGATGTACAAGGTGACAGAAGGTGGACTCTGTATAGGTGACACTTGTGGATAAAACGAAACCTTAGGCACATGTTATTATAATACTGTGCGATCACGGAGATAGATACAATAGATATGGTGGGGGGAGGCAAAGTAAGGCCAAGGGATGTAAGCCCACCCCTCCCTACTTAGGGGTTAGGCAAGCAGTGGAGCTCAAGACGGGGAGGTAGGAACTCCATCTGAAAGTTTCTGATGCGCAGGATCTGTCCGGTTCCTCTCGGAAGCATTCCCTTCTGGTGTCGGGTGTGAGACTTCAGTGCTCTTGCAGTAACCTTTTTTTGTGGATTTACTGAAAGGAAGAGCTTCCTTTTTCACTTCTGACACATCCCCTAGACACTTCCATTGTCTGTCTTGCTAACTTTGTTTTCATTTTTGTATTTTCTCCATGGGAACTTCTTTCTTAGAAGTCATTGCACATCCTATTTTGAATGTGGTAATATTCTGGCTTACGTGGTTGAAGTGTTTTCAGCTACTCCCAAGAAGTTGAGAATTTCTCGATGGGAACTGTTCCCAGGGTGGGTCTCGAGTGAGCCCTGACACAGAAGATGGTCCCATCCAGGAGAAGAGCCCACCTGAGTTGGAACTGCCACCTAAGGGAGTTAGCATCTCCTGGGAGACTTGTCGGAGGTTCCCTCCAGCCCAGACCCTGCACTGGTGGAACAGGAGGGTGCTGGGCCGCCAAGGTCAGGCTGGAGCTTGGCTCCTGGGTAGGTGGCAAACCTAGTTGGTTGCACCCACCACGTTCCTGAGAAGAGCAGCATGAACCCCGGGCTAGGACAGCAGAGAGACAGCGCTACTGACCTGGTGCTGAGTGCTCTAGCTTCCTCCCTAACTGTCTCCTCCCTCTGCTGGACTGTCAAGTCGACATGCCTGTCACCTGGTCATGTCGTGTGGTGGTGAAGGATACTTTTGGATGGAGGCACACCTGAGTTTTGTTGTAACCACATGGTACCTAGGACCCATTCCTCTCCAGGCCTCGCCTATAAAAGGAGTGATTTCCCCTCCGGGAGTTGATGAGTTAAAATGCTTTGGCATCCAGTTGTGGGCCCAATAAGTGATGACTGGTCACCAATGATGGTCACCTTCGGCAGCAGCCACTTCTTCCCCTGGTGGTTATGGGAGGACGGTCCTTTAGTGCTGAGCTCTCCCCACCCCGCCCACATGTCTTGGGGGAGCCTCATTTCTCTAGATTCTGAAAGTCCTGAACACACACACACACACATACACAGGCACGAAGATTTGGGGAGCTTGTCTCCTTCTGACGCCCCTCACGAGCATGTGCTGTCTTCCAGGTACAGCAGGCAGAGCGCAGCGGAGGCCTCTGTCGCTCGCCGCCATGCCGTTCCCCTTTGGAAAGTCGCACAAGTCCCCGGCAGACATTGTGAAGAACCTGAAGGAGAGCATGGCTGTTCTGGAAAAGCAAGACGTCTCTGACAAAAAGGCAGAAAAGGTACGTTTTCTCCTCCCTCGATGTTTGAGGTTAAGAAGTAAGGCAAACGATGAGGTGACGTTTTGGAATCACTAAGCTTGGTGTGGGTTAGCTGGGATTTTTAAAGTTCGGCGGTGGAAGGCAGTCCCTGCTGAGGAGATGTCTGCTCTTGGGCACGGCAGACCGGCCACCGCGAGTCAGAATGGCGTGTGTGGTGCAGCGAGTTTGGTTTTTGAGTACTGTCTGACAAACATTTTGTTGTTGTTGTTGTTGATGTTTTCAGGCATTTTTAAATTTTGGTGTTTTTTTAAATCTTTGAGGTTATTAAACTGAAGTCTTAAAGTCGGTTTTCCACTGGCAGTTTTCCTGGGAGACGGCCTCCCTGGCTTCTTCCTGTGTCCCCTGCACCTGTGACTAGTGCCGTCCCGCACAGTCGCCCTGTCCCTCTCCCTGGGCGTTGCGTGCTCTGCGTCTGTACTTCATTCCTACGTGAAAGTCGGCGTAGCCTTCCTTCTGGGAAATGCAGGCTCTACAAAGCACAGAGACTACATGAACGCAACACCCGAACTCACCTCCCGGAGCTAACTCCCCCTCGAGCAGCCCTGGAGGACAGGGAGGAACTGCCCCGCCCCTGCATTTCCGAGGCTGTCAATCTGCAGGAGCAGAAGGACTGGCGCAGGGTGGGGTCACCTCTCCTGTGCCACCTGGACTCTTACCCACAGTCATGTGCTCCCGAGCACCACCTGGCACTTCACCTGCATATCACACAGTATATGAAGAAGAGTTGTCCACTCATTACCACAGCCAGTTTTAGAACAGTTTCTTCTTGTATTTATTTATTGTTATTCGTGTAATTACTTTTTTAAATTGTGGTAAAAATATACACAACAAAACATTTCCCAATTCAGCTTGTGCACGTGTAAACTTGGTGCCATTGATGATACACTTCATGTTGTATGACCATTATTGATATCCCTTTCTGAATTAACTAACCAAATTTTCCAACACCATTAACATAAACTCAATGTCCCCTAAGCAAAAACTCTCCCTCCTTCACTCATGGTTAACCATCGGTCAAGTATGGTTCTAGTGTTCCCTCCCCCGCCCACATTCATTATTTGCTCCCCAATTTCCCTCACCTCCTTACCTCCCTGCACATCCCCAAGAAACCATTGCATCAGTTATTGTCTCTGTGCGTCCACTCCTTCTGTGCTTCATAAATTGGGAACCCTCACATAAACAATTAAATAAGTAAACAGATGAAACGAAACTGAAGAAAATAATAATATAGATAAAAATAAGAGTAAGGAAGAAAAGACCACCAGCAATATTTTTAAAAGCCAGAGGAGAAATTTCTGTTCTAGAACAAACAAGAAATATTTAAGCCTCGAGCAAATTCCGGTTGGGTAAAGAGGGAGGTCAGCTGACCAAGTATCTTATACCGTGGTTCTATCCACCACCATCAAGTTTACAAACATCTCTGTCTTAGAATACAGCTGTTCAAGTTCCTCACCTGTGGCCAGAGGGGATCTGACAGAGGCTCTGTCTGACTAGGTACTCTGTTGATGGACTTGGGGCTCCCACTGACCTCCATGTTGTTGGGTACCCTCGAGTCAGTCCCAGCAGAACAAAGCTCTGCGTGCTCCTGCACCGTCCTCACCATTGTTCTGTGCCCGAGCTCATCGGTGCCGCCACTCCATCCACCACTGCCCCTCTGCCTTACCAACATGATGTCCTTCTCGAAGGACTGGTCTCTCCAGACAGTGAGTGTAAGACGGAGTCTTGACATCCTTCCCTCCAAGGAGCACCCTGACTCCGGCCTTTTTTCTTCCGATACCAATGTTTGCCCTTTTAGCAGTCCATGGTACTTTCAATAGCCTTCTTCAACACCACAATTCAGATGCATCAATACTTCTACGGTCTTCCTGATTCAGTGCCCAACTTTCACATGCAAAGGACACAATGGAAAATATCATGGGTCCTTACTCTTCTTCAGTACACTAAAGGTGCAACAGATTTACCTGTTGCAGTAGAACTTTGGATCCGACTGCTGCTTCCATGAGCTTTGATTGTGGATTCAAGGAAGACAAAATCCTTAACAACTTCAACCTTTTTTCCATTTATCATGATGGTCCAGGACTCGGCTCCCCACGTTGAAGGAAGGAGCCGCTGAGACCCGTATGCATAACTTTAAAGCATTGTCAAATTCTGTCTTTCATAGTCCTCTACAAATTGGGTGCTCACAATTTAAGCTCTGATATGTTTCCCTTCACCATACTCGGGTTTTGTTATTGTCATCTTTGGACCGCACAGGCTGGTGTGCTTCGTCTATGTGGACTTGGTTGACGCCTCACTGAGATGGCTGCTTGTTTAAGTCCCCGCCCAGTCCAGTTGAGAACGAGGCACCATCTGCTTTCTTCATCACACTTCGCTGTAGCACTCTTAACTTCAGTGATCTCCTCATGAAGGCAAGTATCAAGCAGGGCCATGTTCTAAGAATTGACTGTTCTTGAATAGGGCTGGAATTAAGCCCATCACTTACTTTTAAGGTGAAGATATCTAACCAAAAGCAAGCTTGACCTCCTGGGGCACACTAGACAGCATCTAGAGGTATTGGGGGAGTCACACTGAGGGAGAGGCCATCCGGCTTGCGTGGGCCAATGCCCCATGGCAGAGTGGTCCGTCAGCAGTTTGTCAGCGGTGCTGAGGGGAAACTCGCGAGCTTAAACATCACCGAGCAAGACTTGGCTCCTGCTGTCACGAACGGTTGGGTTAGCTCAGAGGAGGAGGGTCCTGTGCCGGTTATGGATTCTAACTGGATTATGAATGGGGGATTGGGGGTGGTATTTCATTCATGATCCAAGTGAAAAGGAAGAAGAGCTCATTCAAACAGTGAGAATGGAGGCAACGAGACCCAAACACAGTTGAGAGATGACAAATCTACTCACCAAGTAAAAGCCTGTGAAAAGCAAGTTTAAGCCACGCCAAGCTGGGGCCTTGTCCTCGCCTCTGGGTGGGCATTGCCCGGGCAGCGTACCCAGTGCGTAAAGGAATGACTCCAACGCAGCAGCTTTTGGAGAGGGCCGCCTGTGCGCACTGGGCTTTCCTTTCCGCATGTGTGCGCGCGCTCCAAGAGAGCCAGCAGGGGAAGCGTTCCATTGTGTGACAGAAAACCCAGAGCCTCCCTAACCACCACCCATCACTAGCTAGAAAGTGGAGTGTTTTTAAAAAGATGAAGAAATTGCTGATACCAAGGGCTCAAGTAGAAAGAAATGTTTTGAAAACGATGATGGCAACAGATGTACAATTGTGCGTGACACAATGGATGGATGGATGTATTATGATAAGAGCTATATGAGCCCCCAATAAAATGATGTTTTTAAAAAAGATGAAAGAATCTCATGGACAGTAGCCACAAAACCAAGTGCGGGGCCTCAGCTGTCCAGGACCTCGTTGACAAAGCTAGTAACCATGTGAAGGGCACTGCGCAGCTTCATCTCAAGGCCAGAGACAGTGGCCACACACAGGGTGAAAGATGGCACTCCTTCCCAATTGTGCAATTGAAGGCCTCCCACTTAAAATCGCAGCAGCAACTTTTTGGAACCTGGCAGAAAATGATTCTCAAGTTCTGGAGGGAAAAGTAAAATGACCACACAGCTGGAGTAGAGTGTAAAGAGTGGATTAAGAGTAAAAGCGTAAAAAGTCACAAAAGATATTCATTGATTTCTCGGATCAAGAAGACCGGGATGTCTGCTTCCCCAGCTTCTGTTCAGCCCTGGGCTGGGGCTTCTCCTGAGTGCTGCCAGGCAGCCCAGAGACCTGAGAGGCCGCCTCCCTCGGAAGGGAGATGCAAAACCGACTCCTTTGCAGACAGCAGGAGAGCGAGATTATCTGCGGAGGAAATCTGAAGGAAGTTACAAAAAGAGCTAGTAAGTGAATCAGTGAGTTTTGCAGGGCACATGATCAATATTAAAACATCAATTCCATTTCTATATGGTAGCAGTAGACGCATCTTTTTTTTTTTCTACCACAATGCAGTGGGTTCTTTGATATGGCTCCTCTAGCCATCGTCTTTGTAATGCCGACCAAACGGAATGGCTGGATGGAAACATGCAAATGGGGGGCATGAAAACCTCACAAACCAATTGGTCAGTTTTACTATCCCCTGGGTTTTACAGGATTTACCTCAGAAGCAAGAATAGGAACTCTCACTGCTCATTAGGAAAGAAGAGCCAGGAGTGGAGTTCGTCCTTTAGACCCTGTGATCCCTTGCTCGGTTCCAGGAGATGAAACGGTGTGACCCCAGAGATGAATGATGTGGCAGAGCAGCCAACGGAGCAGCGCCAAGCGTGAGAGGCAGAGGGTGGACCATGCAGCCCACAGAGCCAGTGAGCTTGTGCAGGAACTTAGTCCAGAGGCTAGGTTTGCTGACCTACAGAGAGAGCGCTGCAAACCTTCAGGCTGGTGCAAACGGCAGAGGGGTGCCCTTTGGGCTTTTATCAACTAGTAACTAGTGCAAAAGGAGCCTTGTGACACTTTCCCCAGCAGGGAAGGAGCGAAAGGACCAAGTGACTGAGAGGCCAGGGACCTGAGAAAGGTGGGCCTGCCTGAAAACCAGGTGCTCTTGACCCAGAAGAACTATGACCTGAGTGTTACTGATCCTGAAATGTACCCTGTTAACTTCCCTAACAAGACCCTACAATCATGGGGACCACAGTATGGTCTGAGTTCTGCATGGCCATTGGAGTGAATTGCTGAAGCCAGTGGAGACTGTTGTGGAGGGGACGGGCAGAGAGGCAGCAGAATGCGACGTTATGGAGGGAAGCACTCAGTAGTGTGGTTCCTAGGGGCTGTCTGGTGAGAGGCAAGGCTCTGACCTGTTCCTGTGGCCAGGAACCAGAAGCAAGACCTACACGTGAACATAAAGCAGGGAGTCCAGTTTTGTCCTTGATGTTAGGAAAAATCTTAGGTGGAAGCTGGCTTCTCTGCAAGAAGACATGCACCAGCAAGGACTCGGGACC